CCATTTGACCCAGCAATTCCACTACTGGAAATTTACCCTAAAGACACCATAACTGCCACCCAAGCACATGTATGCACACCCATATTTATTGCAGCTTTGTTCGCAATAGCAAAGAGCTGGAAACAACCCTAGTGCCCATCAACAAAGGAATGGATAGAGAAACTGTGATATATTCACACAATGGAATACTATGCAGCCCTGGAAAACAATATTCATAAATATTCATAAAATATTATGTAAAATGGATGACCCTGGAGGACATTATGCTGAGTGAAATATCTCAGTCACAAGGACAAATACTGCATAATGCAACCATTATAAGTGGAGGTTGGAAGGAAACTAAGAAAAGAGGGTATAAATAATGAATTCTGCATTGGAACAGATGAAGGAAAGAACTATTTAAAATGATTAGACATTATTTAGATGGTAACAGTCCAGAATAAGAGATGGATAGCAAAGAGGACTGGGGGACGGGTGGGTGGAGGAAATCACGCAGCAATGACTGAATTTTTTTTTAAAGTGAACTGGGAGTAGTAGGGAGAAAAATGTGCAATAATGAATGAATGAAAATCCAACTTTTCTGTAAACTTTTGTTAAAATCACATGGATTGAGAAGTTGTGGTACATTCATACAAGAGAATACTACGCAGCACACAGGAGCAATAATTTTATAAATTACTATCTAACTTGGGAGGGACTGGAGAGCATTATGCTGAGTGAACTAACTCAGTCCCATAAGGACGAATACTGTATAAAACCATTATTGTAGAATGAGTATGAGGATCCAAGGGGGTGGGAGGGTGGAAGTGAAGGGGTGAGGATGGGTGGGACAGGGGTGTTAATCATAGGGTTGCACAATTTGATTTGTGTATTCAAAATCTGTAAATAAATATCAAATTTTTTAAAATACAACTAAAAATTTTTAAAACTAAAAATGAGAAACTGAAATCACCTAAAATATATTTTTAAAACAAACTTCATTTATTCCACATGTCATTTGCAATATAGCTGCAGAACAAAGAAGCAAAAGACATAGCCACAGTGTGATTTACAATCAATACAAATAATATAAAATCCTTTTATTTGATCCCTGCTGGAGACACCCTTGCAGCAAATCACTGTTTAGAAAAAAGGAAGAGTGAAGATTTAGGTTTCAATGGTCCTGGAGGGACATTTAAAAAGATAGATCAGTGCAAGATTCTTTTCTGAGTCATTTTCTTTGTTCCTAGGAACACATTACATTGCTACAAATCTTTCATCAAAGTTAATCAACTTATTTTACAATATGTGTTTCCTCTTAGATCTGTAATCTCTCAACATACATTTTTCAGACCCTAATTTCTAAGGGAGGGAGCAGAACTGGCCACCCGCTTCCAAAATAACAGGCCTTTGAAAACTCTATGAACAACAGAAAAGTGTGGGTAGCTACAGTTTTAAAGGTAGAACTCAGATGGGAAGTCATTCAAATATGAGAAGAAACTGCAGCAAACAACCATTAATAACAGGAACGTGGAATGCATACAGTGTGACTGTAGGAAAACTGGAAGTTGTCAAAAATGAAATGAAATGTATGAAGATTGACCCTCTAGACACTAGTGAACTAAAATGAACTGGCATGGACCACACAGAATCAAACAATCACATGGTCTATTATAGCAAGAATGAAAAACTGAGGAAGAATGGTATTTGAGTCATAATAAAAAGGACCATTTCAAGGTCTATCCTAAAGTGCAAAGTTGTCAATGATAGGATACCATCCATACGCATAGAGAGAAGACCTGTTAACATGACTAACATTCAAATATATGCACCAACAACTAACACCAAAGAAAAAGAAATTGAGGAACTTCTACCAACTTCTGCAGCCCAAAGTTGATCAAACACACACTCAAGATGCACTAATAACTATTGGTGACTGGAATGCAAAAGTTGGAAACAATGAGGAAAATGTGGACTTGTTGACAGAAACGAGGCTGGAGAACAAATGATCGAATTTTGCACATTCAATGACTTAGTCATAGCAATTATCTTTTTTAAAAAACACAAAAGGCAACTTTACACGTGGCCATCACCTGACAAACAGCACAGGAATCAGAGTGACAACAACTTTGGAAAGAATCACTGGAGAAGCTCAATGTTGGCAGTCAAAACCAGGAAAGTGCTGAGTGGGGGCGGGGGGGGGGAACAACCATCAAAAACCCATGTACAAGTTTAAATTGAGACTGAAGAAAATGAAAACAAATCCACAAGAACCAAAATATAACCTTGACTCTATCCTACCTGAATTTAAAAAATCATCTTAAAACCATGTTTGGGAAATCCAAAGTCTCTGTAAATTTTCATTAAAATTAATAATAATTTAAAAAATTTAATAAAAACAGGTTTAAAAACCAGAAGAGCTATGGGATGAAATCAAGTTTATCATACATGAAGAGAACAAAGGTCATTACAAAGAAGGAGGAAAAAGAAAAAACTCAAAATGGATGTCAGAAGGAACTATGAAAATTACATTAGAGCATCATGAAGACAAGACAAAGGGAAGCAATATCAAAGTAACAGAACTGAACAGATTTCAACAGGCGCCTAGAGAAGAAAATCCAAAGTATTATAACCATATGTGCAAAGAAAGAGTTGGAGTCAGAATTAAAATGGAAGAACTTGCTTGGAGTTTCTCAAGCTGAAAGAACTAGAAAACGAATTCAAGCCTCAAGTTGTAATACTGAGAGATGCCATGGGCAAAATCTTGAATGACCCAGGAAGCATCCAAAGAAGATGGAAAGAATACACCAAATTCCTATGTATTGTTATGCCCAAAAGAATTGGTTGACACTGAAAAATTTTAGGAAGTTCCATATGAACAAGAGCCAGTGGTTGAAAAGGAAGACGTTCAAGTTGCATTAAAGACACTGGCAAAATTTAAGGTCTCAAGAATAGATGGGATACCAATTGGCATGTTTCAGCGAACACATGCAACTCTGGATGTTCTTTCAAGTCTATACTAGGAAATATGGTAGAGATCCATTTTTATTCCCATTCCCAAGAAAGGTGATCCAACATGATGTGGAAATTATCAAACAATATCATTAATATCACATGCAAGCACAATACTGAAGATTATTTTAAAAAAAAAAAAAAGACTGGAACAGTGCATTGACAGGCAACTTTAGCTGGATTTAAAAGAGACCATGGCACCAGGAATGTCATTGTTGATGTCAGACAGATCTTGGCTGGAAGCAGAGAATATCAAAGAATGTCTGTGTTTAATTGACTTTACAAAGGTATTTGTGTGAATCACAACCAACTATGGCTCACATTGAGAAGAATGGGAACCGAAGAACACTTAATTGTGCTCATATGAATCCTATACCAAGACACTGTTGTCTGAATGGTTTAAAATCAGGAAGGGTATGTGTCAGGGCTGTAGCCTTTCTCCTGTTTAATTTGTATGCTGAGCAAATAATTCACGAACCTGGACTCTGAAGAAGAACATGGCATCAGATTCAGAGGGAGACTCATCAACAACCTGCACTATCCATGCTCACTTAAAGAGAACCTATAACCCTTGTGGCAGAAGATCAAAGACTCCAGCCTTCAATATGGATTACATCTCAAGATCAAGAAAGCAAAGCCCCTTACCACCAGGCCAATAGGCAACATCATAGATAGATGGAGAAAAGATTGAAACTCTCAATTATTTCATTTTACCTGGATCCACAATCAACACCCTTGGTACCAAGAGTCAAGGGGTCAGGCAGGAAATGCACTGCTTTGGGCAAGTCCACCATCAGGGACCTCTCCAAAGTAGTCAGGAGCAGTGATGTCAGTTTTAAGTCTAAGATGCACCTGGTTCATGCCATAATCTTTTCAATCACTTGCTATACATCTGAGATCTGGCCAATGAATAAGGATGACAGAAGAAAAATTGAAGCCTTTGAGCTGTCGTGTTGGAGAAGAGTGCTGAATATCCCATGGACTGTCAAAAAAACAGAACAGGTATGTCTTGGGGAAAGTGCAGCCAGACACCTCCCTGGAGGCAAGAAGGGTAAGGCTTCGGCTCACATGCTTTTGGCATGTTTCTAAGAAAGGCCATTCCTTGTAAAGAAATATCATACTTAGAAAGGTGGAGGGTCAGAAAATCCCAACAAGGTGGACTGACATGGTGACTACAGCAACAGGCTCAAGTGTATCTGAGAAGATAAGGATGGCACAGGATAGAACGAGATTCAGATCTGTTGTTCAAAGGGTCACTAGGAGTAAAACTCGACTCGACAGCATCTAACAATTGCTAAGGAAGGTCTGGAGGTGTAATCCATAGAGAGTTGAGATATTAACCCAAAGGTGGCCTCTCTTCCAGCTTGAATTCACCAGCAGCTCCTCAAGAGAAACATGGGCAATTTTCTCCCATGTAATTTATAACCTGAAAAACTCCACTAGAGGGTCAGCCAGCAGTCACTTCTGGCTCGGCTGCAATGACTGCCGCATGACGGAATCTCTACTTCAGAACAAACACAGTGATTATTGCTGTCGTGAATTGTACTAACTCATGGGGACTTTACGTATACTCAGCCTTGGTGCCTCACCATCTTCATCTGTTAAAGTGAAAAAAGTAAAAAGTTTTAATTCCCTGTAAGGAAAATGGCACATACCAAGTTATCTCTACCACACTGAGGGTGGAATTAGTGAGAGGAAGCTAAGTCCAAGCAGATGAAAGTTGTCTATCCAAAAGTAGCAGAAAAAGCAAACAATCACAGAGCAAGTGCTCACAAATCAGACTGGGAGAGAATCTGATGGCAAAATAAGGTAAGTAATTAAACTACTCCCTTGACACTCCCTCTTCTGTGGCTTCAGCATTTTTTCAGGAATCAATTTACAGAGTCTGAATACTTTAAAAGTACACTTTAACTTTGACTTTACAGCCCAGGGATTCAAGCACAAGACTGGGGGCCAAGTTTCTCACATACAACCAGATCGCCCAGACCTTCAAAGCCACAGCGGGTGATTCAGAGAACATCTTCTGTTTCTCCTTTGCTTCCTTCAGCATCCAGGCAAAAGTCCATTGGTCTAGAAGAAGACTCTTTCATTGGAATGTCACCTCCCTGGCTCCCTTCACCTTCTCTGGAGTCCTCGTGGATGGAGGGTGGCAGGCAGTCCTGCTCTGAGTTACTCCGGACGAAGCCAGGTAAGGTCACGTGGCTGTCGGGCTGTCTGCTGACAGTCTTGGGCATTTTGTTGGAGATGCACACCATGCGCGTGCTGCCTGCCGTCTGCGACTGGCTGCTGCTGCTGTGCGTCATGGTGGTGAACACCGAGCCATACCTGTGGCTGCCACAAGGGGGCGCGCTTTTCCAGTCAATGGAGAGATTCCATCGACTCCACAACTTCTTCACCTCAGACTGCACCTAAACCCCCCCAAAACAAGCACAGTATGTATTAGAAATCATAAAGGAAATCCTGAAGCCCAGTTTTAAGGATGGTTGCTCCAGCTCCAATGAGAAGTGTCATTGCTAAATGTTTTGACTCATGACCATATACATACACATGCCCACATGCAACAAAACGTCGCCCAGCCCTGCACTGTGCCCATGCTCAGCTGCAGAAGGCACTGTTGGGATCTTTTTATCTTAATCTTAGTCTGGAAACTTCGTTGTTCAGCATCATAGAAGCAGACATGCCCCCAGCTGGAGAAAGGGGCTGTGCATGAGAGCTTATAGTTCTAAAAACGACCATAGCAAAATGTCCTAATTAATGGGTTTGGGCCAAGGAAACTTGAGTTTGTATACAACTTGAAATTGAATACAAGTTTTAAATGTGGACTGTATGGTGAAGTTCAATATCCTTCCCAGTTCACACTTTGCATCCCAGCAAATGGGTTTGTAGCAGCTGTTTGCAAGTGAGTTAACATTAAAAAGTGCTTGAAGCTGGGGTCTCCGCTTCCTGGGGACCTACCTCTCCATTGCAGTAGCAGTAGATTATAGACACAAAGAAGCCCTAGAGAAGATAAAAGCAGAAATTTAGCCCAGCTGACAATCCATGAGGCTCCTAGCTCAAAGTGTCTTATAATAAAAGGTGTAAGCTGAAGACTATTTCATCATTACTCCTTTTAAAAAAATGACAAAAATTACTCTTTCCTAAGGTTTTCAAATTCTTACATTTGTATTACATTTTTTTCTACCTTCCCTTGGGGTCAGGGAGATTTCTATTATGTTAGTTTTATTTATGTTGCCACTCAACATAAAACTAACATAACAACCATGCAGTAATCCCAAATTGGCTGTTAAAAGGTATTTGTCTGTGAGTCCTAGGAACACCTGGTGTAGAGGATCCCATGGTAAGAATGTAAAGAAGCAATGATGCCATTCCTTTAAAATTCTCTATTGAAAGGAGCAGCCTCCCAGGAACCATCAATTAACTACAACAGGCAAGGTCCCTGCTCTCTTGGTGCTTACAGTCTAGAAGGAAGAGAGCCAGATGAAACATAGCAGATACTGGTGCAAGGAAAAGGTTAAGCTGCTCAGGGCTATGCAGGTAATTTAAAGTAAGTGGCATGGAGAAGAACAGTGGCAATATTCGATGGGAGCCTCAGTCTACTGGGCATTCTCTGAGGAGGGGGCAGATGGGATGGTTGGAATGACAAGAAAAAAGTAGCCAGGTGAGCATCAGTGGGAAGAACACCACAGGCAGAAGGTCCAGCCCCAGTTCCTGAGGTGGAAATGAGCCTGGCCTCTGTGAGGAACAGAAAGACTACCAGTGGGGCTGGGACTTAGTGTGGGGTCAGGAAGCATGGGGTGAGAGGATGGTGTAAACTGGAAATAGTGTTTGGGTTTTATCGAGTTCATGAGAAACATCTTTTCTTTCTAGTAGTACCATGATGAAACTCATCTTTTTAGGATTCGTCAGTGTATAGGGAATAGATTTAGGGGTGGTGGCATATGACAAATCAAGAGCTTAGGGAATGTTCCTAATGGACCAGGTAAGAAAAGTGACGCAAAGGCTACAGGCACCCTCTCCCTCTGCTGACCTGCATTCATTTTTCTCTCCCAGTCCTTCCACTCCTTCCACCTTCATTTCTCTTCCAAACACACAAGAGGTATTATATATTTTATATCAGCATGCCTTCCTGTGTCACCATCCTGGCTTGCTGGCCCTGCAGTGGTCAGAACAGTGAGCCAACAGCTTGTCAAGGCCCTCCTCCAGCCTGGGGCTTCAACGCCAGAGAAGGGGAGGAAAAGTGCCTCGAGGGCGCCCTGTACCTGGAAGGAGTTGAAGAAGAGCTCGCAGTGCATGCGGATCTCCCAGCCCAGGCCTGTGAAGGAGTGGGGCAGGCACACAAACACGATGTAATGCACGCCAAACACCAGCACCAGGACCAGCGTGGACTTGGCAAGTTTCCTAGAAGAGAATGACAGACTCTTTTCACATATCAACTCGAGGCCCCTGCCAGAAGCTCTGGTGGCACAATGGTTAAGAGATCAACTACTAAGGGAAACGTTAGTGGTTCAAGCCCATCTAGGGGTCCTGTGGGAGGAAACAGACCTGGAGATCAACTCCTGTAGAGACTGAAAGACCCATTGCCAATGACTGCATTCTGATCCTTAGCAAGCGAACAGAAAAAGGCTGTGAAGCTTTATAGATGGAGACCACCACATCTTTGCATTATGAATGTATCTGGTGGGTTCAAACTCCTGGCCTTTTGGTTAGTACCTAAGCATTTTAACCATTGCACAATCATGGCTCCTTCCTCCCAAAGAATGCAGCCAGCACACACTATGGAGCCATTCTGTTCTATCACGTGGTGTCAGCACAAGTCAGAAATGGCTCAAGGGCCCCTTACAATAGCATATCCTGCAGAAAAGACCACTTCCTGGAACAAGTAAAGCTTCATGGAGCTTGACGGTTGGTTTCTCCTGCTTCTTTGGATCCCATCACTGTACTGAGGTCTTGTTTATGTAACTTGTCATTTTCTGTCACTTTATTACTAAAGCAGGTAACTTGTTCTCACTTCTTAGAGCTCAGATGTTAACGTAAAAGCTGGTGATTCAACTCACCCAATGGCTTCATGGGAGAAAGTCCTAATAATCTGCCTCCATAAAAATTATAGCCAAGAAAATCCCTTGGGGACTTCCCCCTCTGTCTACTATGAGTCAGGAATGAATTGACATCACCCAACAACAAATACAGTCCTCTGGAGTCCCACAGTCATGTAAATAGTTAACACTTTTAGTTGTTAACAGTAAGGTGGGTGGTTCAAGTCCACCAACAGCATCTCAGAAAGAAAAGTAGGATAATCCACTAGGCCACAGACACCCCACAGAGCACAGTTCTACTCTGCCACATGAAGTCATCATGAGTATAACGTCACTCAATGCAAGTAGAAAAAGTGGTAAGAAGTTGCAATGGCAACCCAAAGGCATATGGTTTGAATCCACTGGCTGCTCTATGGAAGAAAGATGGGCAGCCTCCTCCCATGTAAGTAACCATCTCTGAAAACCCACTGGAGAGCCAGCTGTGAGCCTGTTCTGACTTGAAGATCCACAATAACAACAATGCCACTTCTAATGTCCTTTCCATTCTCATTTAAAAGATGTTATTCACTTAAAGTTGTAATTGTTTTCTCACCCAAATCTTATAATACTACATTTGACTCTTGAAAAGAGTCAACCGTGCTAACTGCCTCTACTATTATAGGAAGCACTTCTGGCTACTGTGTGTGTTTTAGGAATCAGCTACTGCCTTATTCCATCTTCCAACTCTCGAATTTCTAGTTTTTCTTGAGTATGTGTATTTCCTAGGCCACTGCATACTTTTTATGAGTTGTTACGTCAAGGACTGCATCTCAAATTTCCTAAAATACGTTTTGTGATGTTGTGTGCAATTTAGTTTGTGGTGCAGTGGGTTAAAAATTGGGCTGCTAAACAAAAGGTTAACAGTTGGAACCCACCAGCCACTCTGCAGGAGAAAGACAAAGCACTCTGTTATAAAGATTTAAAGCCTCAGAAATCCTATGAGGTAGGATTTCCCATTGGGTCCCACAGGGTCACTATGAGCTGAAAGCAACATGACAACAGTGAGATGGATTTTAGGAGTTTGGTTATATATGTCTTTGTTATGGTGGACCGTCAAGTCCGAACAGACTCACAGCTGACTCTCCAGTGGATTTTCAGAGGTAGTTAATTACACAAGAGAAGACTACCCATCTTTCCCCTGTAGAGGATTCAAACCATGTGCCTTTGAGTTGCCAGGGCAACTCCTTACAACTAGGTCACCAGTAATCCCTGTGTGATTGGAGGAATCAAGTCTTACCTGATGTAATGGGCTGACTCCAAAATAGCCAGCAATGATTCTAGTCTCTTGATAGTCATGACTTTTTTTTAAAAATTCTTCTGATCTTGTGTGTGGGCAGGACCTGAAACTTACTTCTAACTAATGTAGGTTTTGGCCAAGGCAATGAGACGTGTCCCTCACAGGTTAATTTAAAGTAATCACTGAGAGGTACACACGGCATGGAACTGAGGGTGACAGTGGCCAAAAATCACCCTTTCAGGCTTCCGTTCAAACATTGTCAACAACAATTTTAGAAGTCTACCACCAATAATCACATAAATTTATTAACTTTGGACATTATTAAAAATATTAATTATATTTCAACTACAAAAAATTATTTGGCTGAAAAACATCTTCTCTGACCCTTATTACTCTTGACATGTTCTGATTGATCACTACAAACTTAATAATCTTCTGAGCACCCAATTATTTACATTTCCTCCTGAATTATTCTGTATAGCACAGGATTTCAATCCTTGATAAGTGTTTCTCTTCAGTCACTCCCAGAAAGCCAACTTTCCACGGAGGAGCTGAAAACATTGTTCATTCCTTTCTCCCTCCAAGTCTCTCATTTGGTTTTT